TCGATAAGAGATTGATCCATTTGATTGTATTGCAACTATCCCTATTCCTATTCCAATTCCTTTTTTGGTAGAAAATATATTAGTATATATATAAACTATATTTTGATCTCTATGTTTAAATATAATATTGTAAAGAGTAGCTATATCTTCTTTCGAGGCTTTACTAATATTGACTTTGTAAGGTATATCTCTTTTCCAGGGAGGGAAGTTGAAATGGGTAATCTTTTTGAGAGTAGATAAATTGAAATCTTGTTTTATGGATTCTTTTATTTTATCTAATTGAAGTGGCTTGTAACGTTTCCTTCGAGGGGTAGCCATTGCTTCTAGATCCGATTTGTGTTGAGATAGCACTTCTTTTTCGATATTGATTGGGTGATTTGGTGATAGTTTTATTAATCGAAAGGCATATTATTTTATGTTTGAGTCTAAACGGATTTTTGCTGGCTTTAGTTCTGCTTCGATTTTCATTGGAAGGATTGGGGCGGTTTTGAAGATTTCAAGTATCTTTCGAAGAGCTAGATTTTGAAGTGATTGAAGTGTGTTTTTGAATTTGATTTGGTCTTTTTATTAAACTTTCGATTTGTAGTCAGCAATACTAGTTATACAAGTTATGTATAGCTGTTTTATAGCCTTAGAACTAAGACCTTTTTCTGTATTAGTTAAGCGAGTTATTCGTTAAAAGGCTCTTTTTGCTTATACTGCTCTGATATGATGTGTTGATCGAATTTGAGATTCGGATCGAACCAGATACCAAGCCATCTAATTAGAGATTGGGGTATTACTGTTTTCGAATTGAGTAAAGTAATAGGATATTGAGCTGTTAATTTGAAAGAGGAAAAATACATTAGCTCTGTTTTAGCTAAATCGAATTGGATTGCATTCTTTGAGCTGAGTTCGTATAATTGTTTTGTAGCTCTTTCTAACGAATTAACATTCTTTTTCCAAGTAGATGACTTAGTGATAAGAGCGATATCGTCAATATATAAAAGGAATTTGATTGAATTGTTTTGGAAAAGATCTCTAATATAAATCAAGAAGAGGATTGGCGAGATAGGGCTGCCTTGTGGTATTCCGGTCGAAATTGGCTTGAAAGATTCGATTTGATTATTAAAAGATAGTTTTAGTTATCTTTGTTAAAGAAATGAAGCTATCCAGGAGATAAGATTGATTGGTAGTCTCAGCTTCTTGCAGATATCCAATAATCGATTTTTTGAAATATGATTGAATACTCCTTTTATATCCATAAATAAAACCGAAGTCTTATTATTAGCTCGCTTGTTGCTTTCAATCTTTGTATTCAAAAGGAGAGCTATATCGATTGCCGATTTCTTTTGTCGTTCTTTCATTTGGCTATAATATAAGAGATAGGTAATTTCCGCTAGATATCCTAATTGTTAAGCTAGAATCCTTTTGCTTACTTTTTCTAAGCAATTGAGAAGTGCAATAACTCTATACGCTTTTGGTATCGAATAATCTGATTTCGAAGCTTTTTTTAGGATTGCTCCAGTGGCTTGTTTTTAGCATTGTGGGTAGTATCTAATATTGAGAAGCTTACTATATAAAATAAAGAAGGTTTGTGGAATAGCTTTATACGCTCTTATAATGATTTCTTGAGTAATACTATTTGGACCAGGAGTTTTCCCTTGAATTTTAGCCGAACAGGCGTTCTTTAGTTTATTTTTAGAGAGATCAGGCCATTCCTATTCGTTGGATTGTTGATATCCTTCCCATTCAGGTTCGGCTGTGATAGAAGGTTGAGAGAACAGAGTAGTTCGAAAAGCAGAGCATTTTCCTTCAAAAGAGGTTTCTAAAGTAATATTAGGGATCCTTTGATTTTGATAATCCTTTGTATAGGCCATTGCTTTGAAAATAGTTTGAGTGTTCTCTTTTTCTAGGAATTGTTCCAATAATTCTTCTTTGCTGTTTTAATAGCTTGAAAGTATTTGTTTTTGATAATTCGATAAGCTTCTTTTGAATTAATATTTTCGAGATTGAATTCAACTTGTTGTTTTGCTTTTCCTAGTTCTTTTCAAAGGGCTTTCAATTCAGAAGACTATTATGGCTTAGCTCTTTTGTTTGTTATAACCTTCGGAGTACAGTTTTCCATTACCTTTTGGATAATTCTTGTAAGTTCGCTAGCAGTTTGATTCAATTTGAAACGATATATATCGTTTTCTTAAAGGAAATCAATCAAATCTTGTGTAGTTGTTATAAATATACTTAGTTCGGCTAGAGTGGGCGAGTGTTTAGCTTTGAATTGTAGAATAGATTCGAATAGCTTCCAATTAGCTAGCTTTATATGATATCTGATTATTGGCTCTTGAAAAGGGGTATTTGAAATCTCTTTTCCTTTTAATTCAAATAGAATCCCTGAATGATTGGATTCAATATTAGAAAGTGTTTGTCAATCTGTATTCTTGAAGAGATGCTTTGAGAAGTTAGTGTGAGGTCGAGTATACTTGGATTTGTTAGATTAATTCGAAAGAAAGTAGTAGCTCCAGATTCATTTAATAGATTTAGATTTTGATTTTCAATCCATTTTGCTAGTTGATTGGTATTAGTGCTTTTATTTGAAAAAAATTCCATAATGGATGATGGGAGTTGAAGTCGCCTAATATTATTGTTTGTTGATTAATCGATAAATTGTAAAGGGACCGATTAATTGTATATCCTTTTTCCTGTGCTTGATCTGCTTCGTTATATATATTGATAATTTGGAAGGTTTCGCTTTCATTTTAGCAGTTTATTATCTGTATATCCAGGTCTATTGGCGAATGAGGGACTAGATTAACTGTAGCTCAAAGATCTTTGGAAATATATAGGAGGGTTTGGGGTTTGAGATCGGGGTTGAAGTTGGGGAGAATTTGTATAAAATTGGAGTGTATAGTCGATCTGCAATTAGAGAAATTGATTCCATTTTTTTGAATTCAAGATTCCTGAATTAAAATCAGATCAATATTGAGTTCAAGAGCAAGCTGTAGAACGTTCTCTATAGCTTGAAAGCTTTTGTTGAGGTTTATTTGAAGAAATCTGATATTATTGTAATATATTGATTAATGCTATTAGCTTTTTTATTAAATAACTTTGAAGATTTCACAACTTTTAGAGCTAACTGTATGATTTCCTTGACAATTAGAGTATTTGATGATAATATGAAAATAGAGTTTTCCTTTTAAGTTGTAGACTATACAGAGGTATATTGCTGTAATATATTTACCTCCGTACAATCCGCAAGAAGGGTCTTTTTTGCAATACGAGCTTTAATGCCCAAAGCCCTGGCATTTTTGGTATTGTGTAATAGGTTTGGATTCGTAGAATTGTTCTACTCTAACACTAGTGCCTGCAATATACAACCACTTTCGAATAGCTAGTTCGGCTTCTGATTTTAAGACAAAAGCTATAACGATAACGCCGTCTTTTTGGTGGGCTCTTTTGGCTATTGGAGTGAGCCAGAAGGGAGTTCCTATTAGCTTGAAATCTGTATTGAAGGTTTTGATTTCAGTTATAATCAATCCATTCCTTTGGGCCCAGAGAACTCTTTTATAGGGATATTGTGAATAATAACCCTATACTATTCTTAGTCTTTTGAATCCTTTCGAATTTGATAACATTTTTCCAGATAGCTTTCTTTTCAATTAGGAATTGTATTATAAAGGGATTATTAGTAGTAATAATAATATTGTTATTGAGAGAGAGTATTGCTGCAGCAACTATTGGTTCTTTGATTCCAATTTCCTGGAAGGCTTTATTAATCTTGTTTTGAATCGTTAAGGGCAAGAAGGTTTTGGAGTTAGGGATTTCTGGTTTAATTAAGAATAATCGTTTTTGGATAATACTAGTCTTTTTTTTATTAGAATAGATTTGTTACTTTTTCCTTTAATACTAGATTCCATTCCCTTTCTTTGTAATATTAGTATAAGAAGGTTTTGATGTTGATATTGTGGTATTGGTGAGAGCTGATTTGGTTAAAGCTTTGGTTTGAGATTCGATTTTCTGTATAGCTGTTTTCAAATGATTGATTTGGGATGTGATGATTTTGAAAGTTGTAATGAGATTTCCTTTTTCAGTATATTCTCTAAAGATTTCTAAAAGATCTAATAGCTTAAATTGTTCGTTACGTGATTGAAAGAGAGTAGAAGCTAGAACTATAAGATCTCTAGCTTTTAGAATAGCTTTTTTAAAAATGATTGAATCGTTTTGGATTTTGAATTGCTTATTTGAATTGATGAGTAGTATAGTAAAGTTTCGCTTTTTGTTTTGGTTGAAAATTTGAGTAATGTTGTTTGGCTTTTGAGTAATAAAAGGATCGCTAAGTATACTGAAATCTTGTATTCTGATTTCAGGACTGGTTATTTGATTGATTGATAAAGTAAGGCTTGATAATTCGATTGGGGTTCTTTTAGAATAAGTAGGCAAATTTGGGGTTGTAGAAGGGCTGGAAATGATTGCTGGATAGGTATTTGGTATTATAGATTGGTCTGGAATGGCTTCTCTCATATCTATATCTGAAAGAGTATTCAGATTAGTATTTGGAACCTCTACAACTATACAATCGGAGTGTTCCATATTGATATTGAGATTGGATTGTCTGTTCTGAAGTCTTGGAACAGAGTTTTTCATGCGTTTTTTTGTGTGCGTTTCGTGTTTCGAAACGTCGGCGGCAGTATCACAACAACTACTGACCAAAATCACTTGGAGATAATTGCAATGGAATTGTATTGATAACTATGATCTAGAGCGATCGTGAGAAGGTCGTATTTCGAAGAAAAAGTTTCCTTCGAAATTTGTTGTGTGTGCAAATTTGATGAAAAACGCGGATTATTTAATATTATTTTAGAATGATCCATCTTCTCCCCACCTCGAAATACACTAAATTTATTAAAATGCGGATTATTTAACGGAATCCGCAATTTGACATCCAAACATAAATTCAAAATCCGTTTTCAAAAAGAGCGGAATATTCAGTGGATTCAGTGCGGATTTGTATATTCAAACTAGCTCTAAACGCCGGGAATTCCAACTTGGGCTGGAAGGCCCCACACAGGAACATGGGGGGTTCCACCGAAATCGGTGATGTAGATGGACTTCTGGTCCACAGAAGGACGGACATCGTTTGCGACGGGAAAATCGGTTCGGCTGATAACGGGCGCAAGAATCTTGGAGATTGGGTCGAATCTCCAGAGACCTTGGGCAAGACCGTTGGTCAAAGTGCCGACAGCGGAAGGCAAAACAGTGATGTACATGAATGAGCGGTTGGTCCCTGGTTGCGTGACCCAAGCGACATCTTCGATGGCGTCGAACTTTAGGCCCATGTACGAATTCAAAATTACCTTGGCCTCACCCGTGCTAGGATCGACGGAGTAAACACCACCACTGAAGTTGCGGGTGTCATCACGGAGAGAGGTGAAGTAGACGAGACCTTGGTGATAACAACCACCGTTGGGGTTCTCAAGTGGGATGGAGGTGGTCAGGTTGCGGGTGGTGCCATTGGCCAGATCGAGAATCTCGACATGAGTTGCTCCGTCGTTAATCCAAGTGGTGTACCAGACTTCATTGCGCTCTTTGAGCCAAACGCCGGTTTCACCAGCGAAGTTCAAGGCTCGCTCCTCGACGAGGTTTGCAGATGGATTCGGGCCGAGCAGGGCAAGGAACTCGTTGTCATAGGACACAAACGGTGCAGTCTTAGCAGACTGAAGGAGAGTGTTGACCTCTTCGTCTGAGGTGGTGGTACTGTTGAGGAAGCTGAAGGCTGGGTTACCCTCAAACGGCGCTGGAAGTAGGTAGGTGTACTCGGTAGGGATAGAGACAACGGTGCTGCTGTTTTGCGCTGCAGATGGTAAGATGAGGGCTGCGGCAGACGCCAAGCCGAGAAAGAGAGGTCGTATTAATGACATATTAGGCGAAGCACAAATGCTTATTAAAGAATGTCCAAGAAAAAGACTGCCAAAAGGAATAAGTCGGTGAGTACTTAGAAGCAGGATGTACTAATGGCAATGCCGATATAAACATTTCGTTTCTCCACTGAACCTTACAGAGTCTAAATTAATAGTTGTCGGCCTCTGCCAGATTGAAACGACCCGGATATTTGGCTTAATTACGGAGGTATGAAAGTACCATGGCTCAATGATGACACTGCTTTCTAATAACCTTAACTATGCCGAATAGAACTGTTCGTGGTAGAAAAAGGTGGTGATAAGACTTGTCTTTGTTACCTCCGTAAACATCTTTGATATGAGACGGTAGGCTCATATCGGTTTTATAGACTTTAAAATAAATTAAAGTGCTAAAGCTTAAAAGTAAGAACTTAGTTGGACCCCCCCTGCTCGTAGAAAGTGTTAAAAATTTCAAGGCTTTCTTCTTTGCTACATAACCCAGATCATTCGTTCATGTAAGTGCTAAAAATCACGGTGCCTAGGCACAGGGAGAGACCCGCACCGCCGCGGTTGGTGCTAATTGACGATGCCGAGTGTTGGTTCGAGAAAGATACGGAAGACGTGGCTCCCACTATTAGTAGGCCCCAAATGTCTGTATTGTATTCTATCTAAAGAGCTAGCTAAGTGGGAAAATAGTAGGCCTTATATAGGCACTACTGAAAGAGCTAGTCTCTTTCGCATTCGCCTAATACCTTTGATACAGTAGCCATTGTATTGAAGTCATTCCTTTGAAGTGAATACCCTTGTTCACACACCAAGCAAGTAAACTTCTATACAAGTCGGATACGGTAGTAGTCATATCGAATACTTTTCGTCTCCTATTTTTCTTTTATTGATAAGATGTGACGATTCAGTCCCTTTCAGGTTCCTTTCTCAGTCACTTAGCTTCTAGGACCTTAGCCTAGCACGTGACTCATTGGTGTATATAGTCCGGAGCCCTTACAGTTCTCTTCTTATTCTTTTCTTCCTTCTTTAGTTTTAGATTCTAAGGTAGAATTGAATCCTTTTATGACAGTCCTTCACATAAGAGAACTAACTTATCTCATATAAAGCCGACAACAAATTAATAGCTATTTTACAATTTACTTCATATCATTTTACAATAGGATATACTTTTGTATATTTTTATAAATGTAATATAATATATAGTAATTTTAAAATTTGCCTTTTGATAGCTGTATATTTAACTTCGAAGTTATGACTAGACAGTTATTCTTATATTAAATACTTGAGATAGTCTACTTTGTTTTCGGCCCGAAAAGTTATGCCAAGCTTTCTAAAAGACGCTATTAAATTCAGGGTTGTTAGCTAATGAGATGACTATAATTCTTTTGATACATTAATATCGAAACACTAGATGTAATTGACGCGAGCGAGACGATTGTATTCAAAATGACGCATACGAGAATCATATAATAGATTAATAGCATATGCTTACGTTTGAAAATGTAAATTGAAAGTATGGATTAACTAACTGACATTGGGATGCGAAGACTCAACACCTGTACGTGGTGCATCCTACGAACCTCCAGCTCTTTTTTGAGAGTCTGCAGAGCTAAGTTTGAGTCATTTGATGGAGTCGTGGTAATTGGAAGAGGAAAAGACGCCCGATCGCAATGTTTTTTGCCTCCGGGTTGGCTGATGGTAAAAACCAGATCTTAGTTTTTTTTGACACTCACATTATCGGATGCATACTCTACAATACTACTTTTATTACGAAATAGAGGACAACACTATCATCTACAACAATACGCTACAAAATCATCTCCAAGAGCTTTCTGGAGCGTTGAGTGCGATTTACTTTTTTCGATTTGAGGGGGAAGTTTGTGTGCTGAGAGCTTTTGTTCAGGGTTATTACACGATTAAACTCTACTTTTCTCCTTCAATTTCATTCAAATAATAATATATATATACTAGAAAAAACTGGGGAATACGACTCGAGCTAATGATGTATTTGCCATGGGAATCAGTGGAGGGATATGAATTGATAAGGGTGTGGTACCCCTTACAATCAATGCCCTTAGGAAATTGACTGACTAAGAGGACTTGTCAACTCTAGCCCACCAATTTAAAGGATATATACTACAAGTTTGAAGGCCTTATAAAATCACTACCCTATTGTTTCAATACTATAAAGTCGATATTAGGTAGGTATAACCGCTGGAAAGTTACAAACAGGATAGAAGATTAATATGAGGAAAGGTTGTTCGGATTGGATTGATGGAGGGATTGGATTTGGAAATCATGAGTGTAACGCTTTGATTAGTATTTATTTACTATATAGCATTACATATAATAAATAGGCTTGTTCCCCAAGATTTGTTTCACTTCCACTATTGGAAATATAACTATTTTTGTATGCTAGTTAGCTAGCAGTACCCTATTATTCTCTGTCAAGAGCTTAATTGAGCTTTTTGGCTGTCCTATATAGTCTTAGACTGAAGGTGGACGTTAATAAAAAATCAATCAATCAATCAATCACTAACTGACATTTTGATGTCTTGAACTATCTCGCTTCTTTTACAAATTTTCAAGGCTAAGAAATATCAATTATAAAGCTTATATTAAACCTTCAGTTGCTTATAGAAGACTATCGAATGATATTAAAGCTGAAGAGAAGCCTAGCATATCTGTTATCGCAAAAAATTTATAATTTGAATTGCTATATATCGTATCGATGATTTAAAGAGCAATCGGCTTATTTATATCTCTTTCTAAGAAGACATAATCGATGTTAGGGTTGATCCACTTACCACTAACCCACAAAAGCGTGGAGTGTTCCGAATGCGTTCGGAACAGTGGATCTACATATAAACCCTGTCAGGTGTCGCTCCCTGACAATCGATTTCTTAACAAAATATAAGAGAGGATCTGATAATCACAAATAGATATCTCATTCGAGGAGACTAGTAATACTCGAATAGATAATAACAATAAATTAATTAGCTTAGATACTCTAAGTCTTTTCTAGGTTATAAAAATCCTATATTTTATAATTATATACAAACTAACATCAGCCTAGGATAGATCTATAGAATCTATATTATATAATCTTCTCGAGCCCTGTATCGATCAATCGTAATAATTAGATAGTTAAGTACCTAGGTATACTATTATACCTTCGTATTTATTATATAGCGCGAGACTTTGCTGATTATCTATAGATTTCAGATCTTCTAGTAAAGTACTATACATCTAAATCACTACATGCTTATATTATAATCTAAAGTAGAATACACATATATATTCAGATAATAGCAATTCATTATTTAATAAGGGATGATTTGTTTTACCAGTTTGAAAATATAAGAGTTGAATACTATGAAACTTTGCCTTAGATAGACTTAGACCAAAACAGTTGGCAGTGTGTTCAGTTAACATGCGCCTACCTTCTGGCCGTCAATCTCGCTTACTCATTCTTTCATGCTTTCTGCATAATTTCAGAATCATATATATAGCGATAAGTATAGGTTTTCTAGCGACAATTTATCGCTGGGTTTAAACATGGGCCTCCATTCAGTTTCCCCCGCTCGACAGCGCTTGGACATGTGCTTTCAAATGGAGCAAACATGTGATGGAGGATTACCTGTTTGTAGGTCTGAGCTACGCTAGTATTGCAAGAGTTGCTTACAAATAGGTTGGTAGGCTCTTCATGCCTATCGTTAAAAGAGGCTTGTAAGAAACCAGAAATTGGAATCGAGGGTGCCCCATGGCAGAAATCTCCTACCTAATCAATCTTGGCGAGGGTCCCATCTCATGATCCCAAGCATAACGACGCAGTCTTCACGGAAGATTTCGTCAAAGCACAACATGGGGAGTTATACATGGCATTAACGCTATGTTATGAAACTCTTCGTTGTATGAAATGTATTGAAGAATCAGAAATCAGGCGGCCTCCTCATCAAACCCTTCCCAAGGAGGAGCTCGTCACGATTGGATTAGAGCCTGAAGTTATTGCTCTTCTCCGACATCTTCCATTTCGTGAGATGATGATGAGATATCACATGGCAACCCTTCCTTACAACTATTTAAATGATGTTTCCGAAGCACGTGAAGTCCTCTGGAAAGATGAATACAAATCATGCACCATGGGCTGTCCGCCTTGGTTCCTGGAAAGTCCCCCAGGTATATTGGACGAACCATAAATGTACGATATTCGCACAAAACACATTATCCAGTGGCTTAACAATTTCACCAGGCTACACAAATATTTATCTAGACTTGCCATCTGTCCCTACAAAAGTTATGCTAGATCAATGGATAGAATATCTCCAATATTCAAGATAAATGCCATGGTCTAATGGAAGATCCCGTCACCCTGGAATCAGTACCCCCAGCACCTCCATGTGGTTATGGTCGATTATATGGCCAATAGGTATAATATTGTGGATCCGAAACCTGACGCAGATCATACTTGCTCGATGGTTTATAACAAGAGAGCTGCACAGAAAAGATTGTTTCGTGAACATGGTTTGCAAGATGCTTTTAGGGTCGAGGAGTTCAGAATCGCAAAACAGAAAATTTGACAAGGAAGATAGGAAGCTTAGGATGGTGACCCAAAAGCTCACGCACAATGACCCGTACGATGGAAAAGCGGAAGCAATGGCAGAAGCAAAGGCAAAACACACTCAAAGTTCTTGGAAGAATCTGCTGGATTGAGAGCAATAATTAAAAGTAGTCGGTGATAGTTACAATGTTCGGGGTACAATTAGTTCAATGGAGTGCTCGAGCTCCTTGTCAGACCTCAATCTATGTGCATATTAAAATCTTATTCCACAGTATTCATTATCATCTACTATACAAAAATATACATTCCTCAGCTGTCTCCTCTTTTGGATGCAGCTGTGGTCTCTAATTGTTTTGAATGATAGCCACTTCCGGGTTGCGACCTAGAACTCGCAAGCAAAGCTGTTGGTTGCGTTGCGTGTGCATTAAAAGAAGCAGTTTCGATTACCGGTGATGGTTCCACTCTAGGTATACTTGTCTGGGAGATTACTTCAGACTTGAAGTTTCGAACCAACTCCTAATTTCCGCGATCTCCTCACGACAATCTTCATGCTGCATTTGGTATACCCAAGATATTTCTCCATCTCCTCTGGCGTTGGGAGACGTGTCGAATCCATCTCTCTTACAACAATGATACCATCTTCCTCGTCAAAATTTGGTATCTGGGACAAATCACGTCTATTGGATGGGGTTAGACCTTGTTTGCACCAATTAAGGTGATACTCCGTGCTAGAATGAATGCGACGCCGTCCGTCCGACCTTCATGTAGCGTGGATAGTAAAGCAGCACAAGGAATGTCAATCGGATACTACGAGTCTTGGTCCTGTAATTGCCCTTGTGACTCTCTCTTACCAGAGCAGATTCAAGGAAGTGCTTGGACTCATCTTAAGGAAGTTCTAGAATTGGCTTAAAAAGACTGAACTAATTACAGAACTATAGTTACGCCTTTGCTCTTATTGATACAACAACTTTCAAAATTCTCAGATGACGAAGTTCAAAAGAATCATCAAAGCAAACAATAAAAGCCCTACGTTAGATACCTAAGCTGCCGTCAATTACTTTATTTGGGATAGTGACCAATGGGTTAGCTACAATAATGCGGAACATTCAAGATAAAAGTAGACTATGAAAATTCTTTGTACCTGGCTAAAACTGATAAGACGTTTCTACCCTGCACAATTTTATATATTATCTAACTAAACTAGTGGTATGGGCTATTGATCTTGAAACATCAGGAGAGTCTGCTTTCAACCTGAAAGCTGCTGGATTAGATGATACTATTACCACAAGTGCTCAATTCGTTGAGAAAACAACAGCAATGAATACACAAAGCAATGTACAAGCGAACATTTTCTGGAGTAGGTGCTTAGATGACAGTGCTCCTGACAGATAATGCCCACCTGGATTTCATGAAGTTGTTACTGGTCAAGGGAAGGTATTCGATGCCGAACATGCTGATGTTGCTCCCGGATGCCCTATTATATACATATAAGATTGAATAAATGAAGATATGTATTAAAGCTCGATTAGATATATATTATCATTAAAACATTGAATCTATATAATAAAAAGATAAGTTATATTTTTTCAATCTATAAAAAGTATTCTATATACTAGATTAAGAGTTTACCTCCCGAAAGTCGAAATATCTAAAGAATTAATTTAACTTGATATTTTAATTAAGGTCTTTATCAATAACTCATTTCCAATATAATAATCTTGTAAGCAGCATATGATCTTCTAAATTTAATGATTAAGAATAATATAACTCTTTCAACTCTAATTCGTTTAATATATTTGAAATTGAACAATTATAAGTAAGTAACTTTAAGCTTAAAGTATACTCACTAATATAATATAAATAATTAATAAGCTATCATGAAGAAATATATAATATATAAGAAAGAAAAGAGACTAGTTTTGAAGGAATCCTTTATATTTCTATATAAGAATTATATAGCCGGGGAGCCTCAAGCTTCCCCACGGAGTACTATACAGACTTATAGCGATGCGGACCGGATATAGTGACTTTACAGCCTATTATACCAGATTCAACCACGAAAATAGTATAAACATTTGTATATACAGGATCGAGAAAAGCTCATTATACTTCTTTCAATATTCAATCAATAATCAGATATACAATAACTAACTGTTTACACCAAATCGATTATAATCCAAATAAAATACAATAATATATATCAATCACATCCTGCAATCACAATATAGCTTTACTAACCTTCTCACCAAATCCAGATTCTATATTAGAATATACCCAAACTATATGTAATCATATAGATATCAATCTACTCCAGTACCTCGAGAACAAGCTCTCCACTTCAATCAACCTAAGACTCATACTAATTAGCTATAAGCGTCCCAAACGCTTTTCCCGATTGATAGCAATCGATCCGATTATTCGCCAATATCCAAACAATATATAAAACAAGACCCTCTAAAACAAAATCACAAACCCTTAAACAAAACAGCCGCAAGATTGCTATAAGCAGTATTGAACAGAGAAACATTAAAGGCAACAAGCCCCTAATTAACTAACATTATACTACTATAAGCAGCTAAAACACTAACAGCCTATAGGCCCGCTCCTTAATACATCTAGAATACTCTTTGGGAGATCAGATATTAGATGTTAATCACTATAAATAAATAAATAAATAAATAAGAATTATATAATATAATAGTAGAAGTCGAAAAGCACTTCGACAAAGATTATTAAAGTTTAAATAATGAAAAATGAAAAAGGAAAAGGGAAAGCAATTGAATATAAGATTGAAACTAAAGAGGATATTAGAAAAGAAGTTGAAAATGAATCTGAAAGTGATACTAGAGATTTTATGACAGGTGATTGTTAGGTACCTAGGTATGATAGTAAGATTCGATTCATTCATATGGAAATACCTCCACATATCTTATCTTGATAAGTGTAATCGACCTGACCTATTAGCTTATTATGACCACATAAAGATTTTAGCGTTACATTAAACTGCAGCCACATTCACTTTAGGAATTCAAACGCCCAACATACCAACCTTGGAACGCATGGTATTGGGGTTTGAGCTTTCGTTGGGCATAAACAACATTGGTGATATATATGAATGGGCTGTTATCCTTATTTCCTAGCTACGTCAACGTCTTAGCACAACCAAGGACCTCTATTTAAACCCACGAAGCTACAAGCGAATTTTTCTTATCTATTCAAGTTAAAACTCGACCTTTGATTATTATTCCCTGGGAAAAGTACCAAAATTCGCTCACCATATCGACAAGGAAGTGAGCAAAATGGATGCTGCAAATCCACCGCTAGCATCTGGTCCGAGATATCGGCCCATGAACCGTGAGAAAAACGAGTTCCGACTTCTCAAAATTCTCCCTCCGAGTAACTCTCTACATGGAGATTCCGATCCTCTCGCATTCTCAATCGATCCTATTCGCTGTGAGCTTCAATATGAGCTGCTTCCGGGCCTGTTAGCTAAATCAAACCTAGAAGAGGCTTCCCTGTTTTCATTTATGAAATTGATGATGGATGATTCAGATGATCCTAAAATAATTGACAACATAAAATTATTCCGAAGTTTATTCAGCTTTGGTGAATCGATTGATGAAAAGAGCTATTGCGAGCTCAGCAAAGAAAGAAAAGAAGCGCTATATGAGCACTACAAAAGCACTCAAAAAGCACTAGAGAACTGGAGACCTGAAGGAATTAACCTTAACAAAAAATCCTTTAAAGAATGGCTTGTCACTTGCATTTGGGCTCTTTTAGACGGCGATGAAGGCCAGCGCCAATCGTTGTCATATTATGCGCTCTCTTATGTTTGGAATGAAACACCACAAACAATATTAGGGAAGGATTATCACGGGATGGAGGCCCTGTTTACGAGAGCAGAATTGGTGGCAACTTTTGAAACAACGAGCGAGAAAGCCAATATGACACCGGAACGAATCGATGTAGATTTTGGCAGCTTTGGTAATGATGTGAATGAATACCGTCAGATTGTTGTGGATGGTGTGCCTGTTCTGATTGGCAAAAATCTTGAGAAAGCTTTGCGTACACTACGGGAGATACCAGACATCGCAAATGGAACCAGAATTTGGGTTGATGCGCTTTGTATAAATCAACAAGATATTGAAGAAAGAAACTTCGAGGTTAGACGCATGAGCGAGATTTATCAGAAGGCCAGTCGTGTGATCTCATATCTTGGAGATGAAAGTGATGAATCTGGTCATATCCTCGAATTTATGGATTCGATTGGTGAAGTAATGGAGCGGCCACAAGCTATGGCTTCTTTAGCGGCCGATTTTCTCAAAAATATGCAAGTCGACATGGCGTTTTTTATGGCCAAGCTTCTGCAACGGAAATATTTCAGTCGTATTTGGATTGTTCAAGAAATTGTGCTAGGTAGTGTCGAAAGCATAGTGATATGTGGAGCAAGGCGATTTTCATGGGAGAATGTAATGCGATGTGGAAGGGTATTGATCGAGGGAATTAATGCTAGATATCCCAACAATATGGGCCTAAGACTTCATCCCATGAAAAGTATGAGCGAAGGTGATGAATACTTGACGTTTGGGGATTTGCATGTCGGACTAACAAAGCTACAAATGCTAAGAACTGCAATTATTGAGTCTCAACTGGATGATATCGTCGGACAGCCTGTATTGGGCTACGATCCTTTTTGGCTTCGGATCCCAAGTAGCTATGAAGCTTCAGATTCGAGAGATCTAATTTATGGAATGATGAGCCTTTTACCAAGTTGGCTTACCGATTTGATCAATGTTAACTACTCAACAAACAACCACTTTGTGGATGTTATGAGATCATTCGCTGAAGCATATATTAAGAGCACTCAATCCTTGCAGTGGATATTGCGAAGATATCATACGCCATTTCTAGGTTATAAAGAATGGCCTACTTGGGTTCCAAATTTGACACAGAAACTTAATGATACTCACTGGCAGTGGTCAATAAATACTAAAAATCAAGCTTGTTCGGGTATTCCAATAGAAACATCCTTTGAAAAAGATGAGGTATCAGGACGGCACCTTCTAGTTTGCAAAGGCATACAGATCGATGTGATTGATATGGCCACGGAAAATAACCTGATGAAAAGTCTTCAAGACAGTCCTCAGGATATCGATTCCACTCGAGACCCGCACCATTTTATGATTCCTGACTTTGATGATTCAGAAGAAGAAGAAAGAAGGCATCCATCTAATGACCATAAGGAACCAATATCTAAAACTCACCAATATGGCAACATGGAAGACCTCAAAGCGGCACTCAACTCATGCCTCTCCTGTGTAGGATTAAGATTGAAACAAGGGCAAAACATCTTTAATTTTCCCCTCGATATTTTCGACGATGAAGCTCTCCCACAGGCGCCGCACGTACATGCGGTTAGATATCCAATAATCTCTCTGTTCAACCAGTTACGTCGAACCTTCTCATCAATTCCTCTATGGGGCACTACTTTCAAAGAGCTTTTTCCCGAAAAAGCTGCAGACGTTGAGTCAAGTAGTTACTCGAATCCGGTTATGAATACAAAGGCGGCTATTTTTGGGAGGCTTTTCATTACAGAAAGTGGTTATATTGGGATGACACTGGGGAGTATAAGAAGTGGGGACGAGGTGTGGTTATTAGCTGGGTGTGATGTGCCTGTATTGTTTAGGAAGAGTCAAAAAGTGATGGGAGCATATGAACTGCTGGGCGGAGTCTGCATCCCGGGAATTATGAAAGGAGAGGCGTTAGATGGAAGGGCAAATGTTGAGTTTGAGAATGTTTCGATTTGTTAAGTCACTTTAGCTTCTTGATAGTCGAGGATATATATACTTATAATGATTGATTTAGACTGATCATCTAAGCACATCTCTTGTAGAGAATATATGAGAAGAGAGAAGAGAGAAGAGAGAAGAAACAATAATTCCTATTCTCAGAAGTATCATTTAGAGTGTCTAAAATCCTATCATAAAACTAACTCCAGATATGAAAACTCGCTTATTTTTTTAAATTAAGAGAGAGATGAAAACTATATAAGTTAAGTTTATAATGAAAGCTCAAGTAATATTTGAGTCGAATATTAATATTAGAACATATTGTTTCCTACATGTAGCTAGCTCTTTAAACATAATATAGCTTTAACATTTAGGACCTATCATCGTAGGTACTACGTTATTCGTTTTCTCGTATAATAGTTAGATTATACTATAGTATACTCTTTCTTAACTCTAACTCAACTACTATCGAAAGATTCAAAATCCTATCTACTAATAATTAACAATCGCTTCCCAAGCGAGCAACAATGGACCTGGTCACTTCGTTTGCATATGATATCGAAGAGGTCTTCGCCCGCAAGTAAGAAGTTACAATGATTACACTAGATGTACAAAGCGCATTCGACACACTCCTGCCGAACAGGTTATTGGAACATATATACTAATAAGGATGGTCTCGCTCCCTCCTACAACTAGTTCAAGCCTTTCTAAACAACCGCTTAGTAAAAGTCTGGTTAGAGAATACAACCACAAAATACAGTTGCGTCAAGTGCAGCACCCTTTAGGGCTCCCCGCTCTCACCTATATTATACGTTTTATACCTCACTAAGCTTTTTGTTGGTATCAACTTGATTGATAAGTGTAAAGTACTTTAGTCTATTATGGTTGTATTCGTTCTTGATCATTGTTATCTATGGGAAGCTAGTAATTAATATAGTAGAAGTGCTAGCGCTAGTGCATACGCTAGTGCAATACGGTGCCCTCTTTAGATCACATGATCGATATCCCGACACTTTTGAATCAAAACACCAAGCTATACTTCGAGTATACTAACAATATCTACATCTACCACACATCCAAAAACGTAAACAGGAATATTGATCTCCTCAAGCACAATCTTCATCAAATCTTTCAATAAGATAAACAAAACCGTATAATATTTGCATTGGAAAAGCTAAAGATAATACACCTTTCCTAGAGGAGAAAAGTATATACTCTGTATTTAGAAGTAAACAATGAGATAACGATTTATCCTATCAATAAGACAAGCAATGAAATTGTTCAACCTGCCTTATACTGATTGAGAGTTTGGTTTGATTGGAAGTTCTTTTTCAAAAGATATATAGCAGAATGTAAAACGAAAACCCACAAGATTGCAAAGTATATCAAAGGGTTTGTATAGATACGGTACAGCCCGCTTGCTACAGCACTACACAAGGCAGTAATCATTTACATCCTACCCTTTACCCTCTATGGATTCAAGGCATAGTATATAGACTGAATGAAGCCAAATCGGGCTAGGAGAGCCACCTGTAGTATAATGGTAAGTACAAAGCTAAACATCCACATCACCAAAGTCAATCAAACGATTATTCTAATAATAAGAAAAATTCTACCCGTTTGATATACGACCCCGATTATTGCAATCCTGAGAGATTCTGGATTACTACCCAGCAAGCTAGCACTCGAATATACACGAATAAGATTTGCACTCCAATTCTGTAAAGTAAATGAAAATTATTCATTAGCAATTTGTTTAATATAAACATCTTAATATAAAATAAACAAATATCAACTTTTATAGATTAATCAGATTACTCCTGAAAATATTGAGATCTATATTCTTTCTACTACATTTCTCTACAAAGAGCTATATTGATTTTATAGGAGATATAAAGAAAGAAGTAGTTGCACTTGAATTCATATAATAGTAGAACCATTTACCAGATAATTATATTATAGTCTTCTTAAATAATATTGAATAGTATTACCAAAAACAAAAGATAGTTGGCTACAACTATACGATTTATTGGAAACAATCTCTAATAGTATTTAGCTACAGAGTGATCAACCCGTTTTTGTACATTTTTGATATTGAAATAGTAAGTACTTTAAAAGGTTTGAAGTGTGCTATTCGACTGAAGCTGGCTGAACAGGTTACTATATACATCGATAGCACCTCAGTTATTTGGGATATTAGAAGTAATATTTTCGATTTATTTCAATAAGTATTTCTATACTATCATAAGATTATAAGGAATAGATAAGTAGTAATCCGATATTATTATTATTATTATTATTAGTAATTTTCAACCGGGCCGTATAGGCGAGCCTCCCAGGGGGTATTACGGTTGGGCTAACTACAGGATGATCTTCTAATTTATATAATCCCCCTTTTCTAGGGATAGGGTTTCAATACCCTTAGTAGTCTTCCAAGCAATGGCTAGTGTACTTATGCCTTTGTCTTCAATCCTCTAAGTGCCTTGTATATGCTTTTCGATCTCCTATATAATATTTGTTTGAAAGCTGTTTTATTCTATAAGGATAGTTTTTGTATATATTTTATTGCAATATAATATACTATATACTTTAATTTTCTTTTATATAGCTTTTCTAAATCTATTTCCTTTTATTTTCTGCTTATATTCACTTAAATCAATCGATTTCTTTCCTTCTTTCCTTTTATTCTTCTGATAATATTCTAGGGCATATATTCCTATATTGATTGATTGATTGATTTAATTAACGTCCACCTTCAGTCTATGACTATATAGGACGGCTAGACTATAGTAGTCTAGCAAGTAAATTTTAAAGTACAATAATTGGAATAGTGCATTTAGGGGAAGTGAAAACAAAGGTTGGGGTCTTATATCCACTACTATATGTAGTCCATATAGTAGGTTTTTGAAAGGAATGGTCTCCTTTTTCATTTTTCTCTCTCCTTTTTTCTTTCTTTTATTTCTTCTTCCTCCAATTTATGAATTACTCTCTTTCCCTCACTAATTGTCTCCTTCTCTTCTATTATTTCATTTTGAATATCAGCTCTAACCAAATACCAGGTTTGAGTTGCGATTTTGGTTGTATTAATAAACTTGATTGCTAGTTTAATCCCTATTATTGTATGCAATAGAAATTAATGATTTCGATTGATAATGGGAAGATTCTCAAAGATCTCTTTTTTTTCTTTTGAATATATTGGGTATTTAAAGAGAAGGTATGGAATTATCTCAATAGCATTGCAAATACACTTATTATTCGAAAGTTTGAAACGATATAGATATGATTTGAGATACCCATAGTCTAATTTGAATTGGAAGAATACATTAGCGATATTACGAATTATGCCTTTCGGAAGTTTGATCTTGTTTTCTAATTTCTATAAGTATAATTTGGAATAAGTATTATTGGATTATTCTGGTTGATGATTGTATTGATTAAGGGATTCTCTTTATTGATTTATATTGTATTCCTTAACGATTATTCTGAGTAAATCAAAGCTAGTATCATTTATAAAGAACTGTATTGTTATAGCTTCCTTAACTAGTTTATCCACTAACTCATTTTCTTATATAGTTATATAGCCTGGAACTCAATTTAATGAGATTTCAATACCTACAGCTCTAATTGCTTTAGTAGCTTTTATAGCTTGTATCTGATATATCTATCCTAAATAATCTAAGGGAATCTTTAAACAATAGAATCTAGCTTGATTATTAGAATATATTTTGTATTTTTAATCTCTATATATTAATATGCTAGCATATTCCATTGCCTTTATTATTCTATATAATTCTTTATTATATATCAATTGATTAGAACCAATATTGATATACTCGGAATGTAGAATCTGGTTATCTGATAGAATTGCAATAAAGCTTATTTCTATATCTATATCTTTCTCAATCGAGGAGGCATCTATATATATATAAATTGTATTCTTATCTTTATGCTTAAAGATAATATTGTATAGTATAACTATATCCTCCTTCAAGGCTTTGTTGATATTGACTTTATAGGGGGTATCTCTTTTTCAAGGTGGAAAGTGGAAATGAGAGATTTCTTTGAATGATGAGTGTGACGGAAACGGTGTTGTAGACCACGTGGATCAGATCATGTGATGGTCAGGTATTCATTATATAGAATACTCCGGAGCGGAACAACGATAACCGGATCGGCCGCAGGACCGATCACCGCTCCCGTGATCGGTACCCGAAGATCACCCAGTATATAATCCGATCTCTTCTCTACAAGAAGAGATCAGTTCTAACTGTAGATGAGGAGATATACACATTCTTATACTTATACCATTATTGTCCAATCATTCCCCTCCATCATGATATGCTATTGTCCTGTACGATAATTATGAGCCCGGTTCGCGTTTAAATACAGCTATTTTGCCATAGACCACTCTTGTGATCAAGAGTGAGCATATTACGATTCATATCTGAAAATCCAAATTTTCACTGTCCAAATACCCGGATCAATCATGTCAACGCAATATACACATCCGTCGGTATATCTTACCACCCAATCGGATTAGCCAGCCTGGTACAATGCTCTTAGGGTTAAATATCAGCTAGAAGATATTTGGGATAAGATTGATCCTAAACTTCTATCAAAGACAAATTCTTTAACCTCTCTTTCCTTAGAATCATTATTCGAAGTAATCGATTAACTAATTGCAGCTCCATTTGTTCCTCTAACTCTCGAGAGTACTCAACAGGAATAGGACAGGGCCAAGCAGCATGCCTATGAGGCAGAGCTCGTTAAATACCATGCCAAGTACCCTGAATGGAAAAGTGAAGATGGGGATACAGAAATGAAGGAATCAACTGATTACCCAGTTACTCCTCTGTTATTATCTGAGCCTGCACCTACATCCATTGTCGATGTAATTCCCTTGTTTACTGCTCTTGATAGGTTATATTGTAATGAGAAAATGATATATGATAACAAGCACAAATCCTATCAACAAGTCTATAAATGGATCCAATCAACTGTTGATCCAGTTTATCTTATGG